GAGAATAATGCTTTAGGACTTGAAATGATGAGTTCAGTGTTCCAGACTATATGGAAATACCATCGCCCACTGGAAATGCTGAATGAAATGAAGATTCACAAATAGGACGTAATTTTCACCTTGAACTGCATTGCTACTAACTACCAACGAAATTAACTTTTAGTGTACTGCTATCTGATATAATCTACACAACTATAATGTGGTAATACATTCATCTTCGGAAATGGAGAAACTTCTCAGTGACTTTCCCAGCACAGTTTAACGCTCCTAACCATATCAGTGTATTCACATGAATCGATAACTTGTTTTGTAATGTGTTTCTTTTTTACTTCCTCTCCTTTACTGATGTAATCCTCCATATGCCCAGTACAGGTGTTGTGGCGTTTTGACTGCACGTGTTTGATGTTGATTCAATGAACAAATGGTCAATGATTAATCCCTCTCTCTGTCTCTCTTATTCAACCTGACTAAATAACCTCTCAATACGTTTTACTTATCCCACTATGGTGTGTGACTACATGCAAGTATATGCATTACAGTGACCTATTATTATTGTTCCTTTTAATTCCTAGAGGAACAAAGGGCTTCAGCCGTGCGTCTCCATTGCATTCGGTTCTCTGGTAGAGTCTTCACCTGGCTCCAGGTCTGCCCACACGCTTTCATCTCCTCTTCACATGACCTCCTCCAAGTCACCCTTGCACTGACGACCAACTCGTCGCTTCCTTTTCGGGTTCCTATAGAGCAATGGCTTGTCTAGTGATGTCACTTGATGGTTTCCTCAGAGTACGGTCAGTCCATCTCCATTTCTTCCTGCCTATTTGTTTCACAGTCAGTTCCTGGTTGGTTCAGTCTCAGAGATGCCTGTTGCTGATCTTTTCTGGCCGGCCATCTGATCTTGAGTATTGAGCGAAGACAACTGTTAATGAAGGTCTGTAGTTTGTTTGAGATGCTCTTCATGACGCGCCAAGTCTGTGATCCGTATAGTAGCACTGACTTCACATTGGAGTTGAAAATCCGGATCTTATTTTTCATGCTGACTGCTGTTGACCTCCACACAGACTTGAGAGTAATGGAAGCTTGTCTTGCTTTTCAGATTCTTGCTTTGATAGCATCGTTAGTTCCGCCTGTAGTTCAAACGATGCTTCCCAGGTAGGTGAAGGAGGTTGTTTCTTTCGGTTTCCTCCCATTTATGCTGATCGTTGTCTGTTGTTGTTCTTGTCCAGTAATCTTCATTACCTCTGTTTTCTCTATGTTCCCCTGAAGTCCTATCTTTGATGCTTCTTCTGCCAACTGGCTTTTCATTTGCATATCTTCGAGTTTGTGGGAAATCAGACATATATCATCGGCGAAGTCCAGTGACCTAGCTAACACATAAATAGTTGACTCAGCAGTGTCAGTCATTACGAGTCTCGCTAAATTCTCATATTCCGAGAGTTTTATTGACACCCAATCTACAAGTCAGACTTATGTAGTGGGCCTCACAGACATCAGAAGGTATTTGGTAAATCATAATATCTTTTTAATTGGTTTTTTGAGTCCTTAAGCTGACAAAGTTTGTCTCTGAGTGAGTTGTTTTAGGTTTAAGTGCCACCCTAATTCTAGTCTGACTAAGAATCCTATGTAGGATATCTGAAATTTCTTCTTTATATTGGCAGTACTATCGAAGCTTTGAATCCTTAACTGTCTATATGATTCTCATCATACATGTATTTTATGCGTCTTCATACATTTTTGAATGAAATCTGGCTAGTAGTTGCTCCCTAGTAATGTTTTCTGTATCTGTTTGATTTCATTATTTAAATTACCTGACTTACTAGTTAAGCTCCGTTATGGATAAGATTTTATTTTAATAAAATCACACAGTGTCTGTTATACAGTGATATTTACTGATGACCACGTTTCGAGTACAAATTATTGCTCGTAATCATATTAAGTCCTTAAGATGTTTTTTACAGTAAAAATAAGTAACTTGTTAGAATGTTATCATGTGAACTGAAATATGTTTTAAGATTATTTATAATCCTCCTCTGATTTGACTGACTGGTTGTAATAATATCTTCCATATCTCCGGTATTTGCATTGAGTCACTTCTATTACATGTGTTGTGTTGGGCGTAGACTCAATAAACCAGACCGGATTCAGTCATCAAGCTCTCTCCTTACTTACTTATATTATATTACTTTTTAGAATTTTGACTCTATCTCACCCACACCATTGTGCCGTTGTGTATTAGTTCTCGCAGTGCGATTGTTGAGCTGTTTTCTAAATTACTTATGTTCGTGGGATCAATCATTCCGCATTTAAGCCAATATCTTGTGTTCTGATTATCTGACTACCCTCAATCTAATGGTTTGACCTATGTAGTTGACCTCACAATCATTGCAGGGTATTTTGTAAATTATATTATTTTGTTTAATTGGGTCAATTGGGTCCATTAGCCCATAGAGCTTGTCCTACCTGAGTGAGTTTGTACGTTTGAATGCCACTGTAATTCCTGCTTTATTGAGAATCCTACGTAGGGTCTCAGATGACCCCTGCTTGTATGGTGAAGCTACTGTATATGCCTTATGTTCTTTCTTATTCATGTTATCATTATTAGTTCCAACATTATTTTGATTTTGCTTTTGACTTTTTTCGATATTCCTAGTGAACAGCAGCTCTTCTTATTCTATCTGTTTCATTTCATCGTTTAGGTCTTTTCTTGTACTACTTAGTGTTGTTATTGTTCGGTTTGTTAGACACTTAACTAAGCCAGCCTTTACAGACAACGACGGATGAGATGAATTAAAGTCGAAATACCTATTAGAATAAGTTGGCTTTTTATAAACACTAATGTGCAGTTTACTTTCTTCTGTTCGTTTCATTTTACAATCTTACACCATAGATAATTCTTCTTGTTCGTTTTCCGATTCAAGTGTGAATTTTATCCCCTTTACTGGACAACACCGTGAGATTTATCGAAATAAAATCTTATACATAATGGAGTTATACTCCACCACAGTGCCCAAGTTTTATACTTATACTAGTTAAGTACCTGGCATGATAATACAAGCATTTGACTAAACCTACTTTTTTGCCATTTTTTTGGTATGTCGTTTTGCTATAGATGCAAATATCTTATTCACTATACCGTTTTCGATACCCTTTACAGTGAGGTATAGCTACCTCATCCTATTTCTAATTGGAATCACTAATGTGTATGATTATGCAGTCAGTGCAATTAAAAGACATCTTTATTATTGGCATTATTGTTTCCTTTAATTCCTGAAGGAACATAGGACTTCAGCCACACGTCTACACTGCGTTTGGTTCTCTGACAACGTTTTAACCTGTCTCCATGTCCATCCACATGCTTTCATCCCCTCTTCATATCACCTTCGCACTGACGACCAACTCGCCGCTTTCCATTCGGGTTCCACTCGAGCGATAGCATGGTGTGTGATGTAACTCACTTGATGGTTTGTTTTCTCAGAGCATGGACAATCCACCTCCATTTATTCCTGCATATTTTTTGCACAATCGGTTCCTGCTGTGTTGGTTCGCTCCCAGGGATCCCTCCCTGTTGCTGATCTTTTCTAGCCAGCCATCTGATCATGAGTAGTATTGAGCGAAGACAGCTATTGATGAAAGTCTTTAGTTTGTTCGAGGTGTCCTTCGTGACACGTCAACTCTTTGATCCTTATAGTCAGTAGCACTGACTCCACATTGGAGTTGGAAATCCGCATCTTATTTTTCATTCTGAGCGCTGTTGATCCACACGCAGACTTGCGAGTAGTGAAAGCTCGCCTTGCTTTCCCGATCCTAGCTTTGATGTCCTCGTCAGTTCTGTCCGCCTGTAGTTGAAACGATACTTCCCAGGTAGGTAGGTATGTATGTAAATGCAGTTGCTGCTTTCAGACTCCTCCCTATTATGCTGATTGCTGTCTGTTGTTGTTGCTGTTGGCAAGGAATCTTCATCGCCTCCGTTTTCCCTATGTTCACCTGAAATCCTATCTTCTCTGGATGCCTCTTCTGCCAACTTGTTGCTTTTCAATTGCATATCTTCCAGTTTGAGTGAAATCAGTCATATATCATCGGCAAAGTCCAGATCCTCCAAGTCTTTTTTTGCACAAGTCCATTTTATGCCTGTCTCCTCGTCTTCCGCTGACCATCTGTCACATTATTCAGTCAGTCTACCGCAATCAGGAAAATCATTGTAGATAGTAGGCAGCCACTTGTTTTACTCCCGTCTTCACTTCTTCGAAGGATTCCGTGAGTTTCCCGTTGTGGATTAAAAGACACCTCCTTTCAAGAACCTTATTTCCTGATAATATGATGTGATATATATGAGATGACTTCTCTGGGAGACTGTCGTTTATAAGCAGTTTAAGCCAAATTTCATCAGTGAAAACCTGACCATTTTGATTCGTCCTTAAATGAAATCGAAACATCTCCAAATCGCATATAAAAGCTCCCACACAAAACTTTTGTTAAATATTTTGTACTACTGATACAAATTGTAAGTAACATGAAATTATTCAAGAGTAATCTCCTTATCATAATGGGAGATTAGTATTAAATTTGATCACGGAATAGTATCAATTTGACAGCCAAGGAGTACTGAACAGCTGTTTCTTCCTAGTTTGGGACCATTCCTCATTGCACACCCATAGGCCCGAAACATGGAGAATCGAACCCAGGGCCTGGAATCCAGTTATCCATAAATTCTGAATTTTGTCAATTCGCGATTCCTACCCAAGTGTCTAAATAGTCAGCTAGCTTGGCCTCGTAACCTACACATCCTGAGTTCGATTCCCAGGGTTTTTAGCTATGGGTGTGTACTGTTAAAGAGTCCAAAACTAGGATGAAACAGCTGCCATGTGTTCTCTAGTTTCCAGTATTTACTAACTGAAATCAATCTCTTATCAAAATTGAAACCAATCAAATCCTCACAGACTAACTTTAAAATTAAAGTAACGAATATAATCTAATCTTTATTCATATATTTTTCCTTTTTTTAGATTGATGAACTTTTATATTTCAACGCTGTCCTTGCTCCAAAAGAATCTCGTGCTAAATGGCGTGCAACACATGTCTGGAAAGAATGTGATCGTGAAAATGTAGAAAAATTTGGTGCTCTGTCTAAAATGAATCTAACACATATGAAAAAACAGACTGCATCAAATACTACTAATCGTAATTTCATATCATTACAAAATACGCATAATTTACATGAATTGGATTACCAGAATGTTAAGGGATCTAAATTATCAAGGGAAATCGCCACAGAGACTATGGATTATCCTACAGGGAATAATAATAATGGGACAGGTAATCATACTCCTGTTGTCGATGATGATGACACTGAGGTAGAAGAAGAAATTGAAGATTACATTGTTGAGAATAGTACAAGTAAGGATAGGGAGCTGTGCAAATCTCATCCAAGTCAACTGGATAATGATTCTGACTGTGAATATGCTTTAGCTGGTGAAGAAGGCCTTGATGATGATGATGAAGATGAGGATGGTGAAGCAATCGACTCACCGATAGCTCATCTACCAATCGATATAAAGTTTATAGCTGATGAAGTTGAAGAAGAAATGGAACGTGTACTGAATATTCAATTAAAGTCAACGACTATTACTAATGATAATAAAAAAACTGAAGATGATTTACATAACCTGTCGAACACAACTAAATCATCATGTCATGAACTCTGTGATTCAAGTAATTCAACAGAATTAAGTCATCAAACTCAATCAGAACCGTGTCGAATGATGACAATGAAAAAGAATAGCGGGAGTAATACAAGTAGTGATTATGAAAGACATTATAGTCTGGTTACGTCGTCGACTGGTCAATCAAAGTTAACACGGCATAAATTAAATCTTTCATCGCAGGATGACAGTGGAACATCAAGTTCATTGTCTGAAATGAATGCTATATCTATAGCTGTTCAAACCGTATCTACTGGTGATATAATGGCTACACAGTTATATCATGATAATAAAGAATAATTGCAATAAGATAAATCTCATCAAAAATATTACATAATTATCCATTTATCGTATTTTAAACAATTATTATTCATCAACGTATCCCCTTATTTGGCCCAGAAAACAAAACACAATCTACCCTGGCCCCTTCCCCTCTAACCCAAATTCCCAGTTAGTCATCAGGAAATTTTATAATAAAATTAAAACATAAAACATTAGTAAAAAGAATAGAGTAAAACAAGTACATTTAAAAAAAGAAGTATATAAAAATTATTTTAAAAAATAATTAAAAAGTATATTATCTCGCTTCTTCTTTATTTTTTGTTGATTCATTCATTTTACCGCTCTGATTACTTGCCTTCAGTAAAACAAACGATGCATTTCAATGTTCAATAATTGTACGGATCTGCTTCTCTTACTCTAAACTTGATTCTGCTATTTACTACGAGGCTAGCACACATATATATACTTTTTCTTTAAGGAAAAAAATATTTACCATCTAATTTAACTTTGTTTTATTTCATTTTCTTGCTAAGTTTTAATCTTCTACGGTTTATTCTACCGAATTACACTTAAAGTACAAACGTTGCTCAGATGACCTGACAAATAAATATACATCCGCTCATATTACTTACACAGATATACATATATATATACATACATGTGCATACTACTTTTATTACTACTTATTACAAAACTACTTGCTTAATCGTTGCCTATCTCCACTTGAAAGGAAGTCATTTATAAAAAGAAACAAAAAGACGAACAAGTTTGTTTTTTGCCTTAGGTGGAGAGTTAATTACTGCTATACGGTATCATAGATGTTATTTCATCCCTATTCTACTCACTGCTATTCTTGTTATTAATGCTAATTTTTACTTCACTAATGCCTATGAATGAAATACCAGGAGAAATGTTACATCCGTTATGTAATCAAAGAATCGAACTGGATGGAAAGTTGTTCTGTCTTGTTACTTGTATTCTCTTTCCCTGCCAATAAACAATTATGTACCCTTGAATGACAATCTTTGTTATGCTTGTCTTTGAGAAATAAATAAATAAATTATAGGGAAAATCTATTAGAAGTAGTAATGGCTACATTATGAATAACATGGTTAATTCATTCATTCAAGAAGTGGAAAAAATGGGTAAAACAGTGAGATGTAAAAATTTGAGTGAACATGGGGAAAAAAGAAAACGCAGGAATTATAGGAAAGTGAGTAATTTGTGCTGCATTTAGCTGACATTTCGCCAACGTTTCTGCCAATCAAAATTGCCAACTTATCCCACGCGTCGCCCACTTTTGCCTGTGTATTCTCCGACTGGGCAGTACTGAATTTTCAGCCCGATTTTTCAATCATTTTACAGAACTTTCAAGAACTGATTAAAGTTTCCATTCGAAGCATACCAAGTGACATACCTCAAGCCATTCAGAAACACGAGCGCGTACATATTCTTCTTCAAGGATATAAACATCTAGTCAGAAGAGTGTAGAATTGAGTATATTTGGCTCACTATACTCCATGAAAACTAGGTAGCCGCCACAGACGATAGTCTTTTACAAAAGTAGCCAAAAAAGGTGGGAAAATTAGATGCATGAAAGACCCGATCCACTGAATATATACTTTTTCGTTAGCCTTTATTGATGGTAAATATTTACGCAAGATAAATACCCATCGGGTTTTCATTAAGACATCAGATGGTAAACACAGATTATCACTTTACCAACCCACTGATTGACGCCAATAGATTCAGCCAGTGCCACAGATGTGGGTGCGCACTGTCAAATAAGAGGAAACGAAGTCTTTCAGTCTGCGATCCAATGGTAAAATGCTCGCCAACAGCATATACATATGATTCAGGCTACGTTCCTAGTCAATGCACCCTCAAACCCCACCAAGTTTACAGTCTGGTGGTAAGCCTGGAAATATTGTCAGGTTGGGCGTGAAACCAGCAACTCCACCGTGTAAATTATCCATCGATACTGAAAGTCTAAATTTTGAAGCCCTATATTCCACCGAAAACGCGTGGGAATGAAAAATTCGTGAATAAGTTCTACCAGCCAAGCTAATGACACCGATATTTAGTCCATATTTTGGACGATTAGTCAGATCTTTTCTTCCTCTCTTGTAAGAACAATTCAATTCCCATCCTTGAACCAAGTCAATCTGTCCCGGATCAGCCTAGAGTTGTTGCAACCCAATTATCCATGCCTAACGTGTCTATTCCCCTTTGTTTAATGAACTGTGTGTGTTTTTACATCGATCAGTTTAGTCACACAGTTGAACTCATGACCCAATCAGAGTATTTTTGTGGACTGTTATTTTGCTGACCCATGTCATACTTTGTACCATTCTGTCGAGTTTATCTTATTTATTGATCTTCACCTGTATCAGCCTACCTGGTTAAGTAGCCATTTAAATTCTATCTTTGTGCCTATGCTCCGTCTTTCTCTTACTTGGGTTCATTCTTCTACTGACTGCTTACCTGAACGGTGGTGTCTGATTCCGGCTAGTTCGCAATTTTCGTTTTAACGTTATTCCGCTCTGATAGCGGTAACTTGCTTTCTGTTAAGCGTTGTGCTTTGTACTCTTGAAACCGTTAAGGTTTGTTGTATATATAATTATTGATTTGTTTATTAATAGTACCGTAGAAACAGTGACCGGCTTCTTGTTTGTTCTGGACCGGGATAGCCTTTATCTACGCGTGACTTAATTTCAAGCGATATTGCGCTGACATCTCTGTTTTATTCAGTACTTCCGGTCTTGAACTGACGTTTGCAGCAGAGAGATTACATCTTCTAGCGTACAACACGTTAGTCATATTGTAGGCGATTTCATTCACACAAGCTGCACAAAGGCTTTGTACGTTCAGAGGAAAATAGCTTAACCTCTATATCTAGCATGGATGTAGTTATGCCTAGTTTCTCTTTTCCCTTGATTATTTTTTTCGTTCATATGTTTCATGTAACTTTTCCATCTTCATTTTCAGAGTATTATCTCGGCCCGTAGCCGAACACATCCTGAATACACCTTTTCATGAAAATCATTCTTTGGTGGATTTATACACTACCACAGTGCCCAAATTCTTCTGTTAAACCCACAGTAATGTAAAAGCGTGCACCTGTTTTAAGAGAGTTGTTCGTACATACCAGCCTGAGGCACAAGAGCACTTTCAAATGTCTTTCTTGAAGATAGAAAGCCCACCCAAATAATAAGTTGACCTAAACAGCCAGTCATTCCCTTTAAAAACAATGCTGCACGACTTACCATGGATAGCGCACGAAATCTTAGCACTTATCATCACCCATGTAGTATATTAAATCCATCTGATTAAACCTGACCCTTTGAAGTTCGATGGACTGTACAAAAGAACGCCGTAACGCATTTGGATCGTATTAACTTGGTTTCGTTGAATTGTTCCCTGAATGCTGAAATGCATTGGTTCCAATCATTATGAAGGATGCTTTGTCCCTGGAAAGCGTAAGAAGGGGTTGGTTGCAGATTCTGTCCTGGGGAAATGAATTGTAATGCGAACAGATGCACTTCGAAATACACTGCTAGTCACTTAGGATCCCAATTTCTTGTCACAGCCCTAGTGTAAGGTAGATAAACCAGCTCCAGAATGGCGTTGGCTGGATTAAAGAAATCTTAGTTAACGCAGAAATAACAGTCGATAACTCGGCAGTTTCAGGGAACGCTGCTTTTGTGAAGGAATTTTGACTTCTTAGACCTGAATAAGTACTCCTTCGCAGATAATGACGTAGGATCGCACAAATTGGTTTCCCAAATAATAAGTTCCAAACTAAGGGTGTCTCCGTAAGTAACAATCGGTTGGTCAGCCCTAAAGACGAAAAAGAGCCATGACTCTGACTTCCAACTGTGTCGCCCTTGTGTTACCAGCAAAATACTGAAAATCTATCAGATAGTTGGAATATCATGCTTTTTCTGGGGTTAGAAATGACTGCTAGTCAGTGGAGAAGAAAGTTAGACCAAGAGCTCTGTCCTTGGGCACTCTGTCAACTCTGAGCATATAGCATTTCTGTATGACTGCCTCACATCGTTACGCAGAGTTCAATAGTATCATGCTGAAGAACTTTGAATACATCCACTAAACTTCACTGAATCTCTTTCTGTTCTGTACTTAGAACTGCAATTTTGCGGTCAACACTAAAACATGCGCTTCCCATATCTCGAATATCTTGGGATTTTGAAATGCACGACAGCCCACTAAGCTGCAAATACAGTATGGGGAAAAAGAAAACCATACAGAAAATAATCGGGAACTGACGTTTTTGGAGTCATATATGTCCACATCTAGCCGTAGGAATGGATTAATGAGCAGGTTTTAGAAACCACCATTTAACAACCAGCCAAGTGGTAGTAAGACTGTGGTGAGAGCTGGCTGCTAGCCAAATTGGTAGACATAAATTTACGTCAATGTTTATGTCCCAATTATTGGTCGTGAGAAAAATAATAACAAAGACTTTGCGTAGGTGGATACAGTTAGCATATAGATGATCTGACATTCAAGAAACAGCCACAAAGAGATGAAAGATTAACTTTCAGTGAGAAACAACTAATCAGAAGACTGTGTTTCTCTGCTAACAATAATATACAATAATGTACATGAATGTAATGTACCCGGACCATGTGCGTGCATGGTTAGGACGCCCGCCGACCATGCACATGGTTCGAACCCCGGCCGACACACTGCTCTACCTCGCCGAGCCAGAAATAAAGCCGGTAAAAAGGAAAGGTTGGACATGAGGCTGGCTAGCGACTCCATCCTGTAAAAATAAACACTGTTACAGAATCTTCAAGTCACTAGGTTGAAGCCCTATGTTCCACTGGGGAACGTGAAGGAAAAAAATGTACATGAAAATATATAAATATGTGTTGATTTCCTTGATAAACGATCTGTAGCCTGGCCCTCGTCTTCTGTTGTTACATGATGACTGTCGTTAGACAAATTTTAAGTAGGACTGCGGTACATGTAGTTCCTCCCCAAGCTAATTCCCAGCTACCAGCGTCTCAAAACCTGCTGGTTCACATTTCGCTACGTAGTGTGTAATCTGGAGACAGAGAGAAGCTGGGAAATGGAGATTAGATCGATGTAACGATTCGGAACTGTTCGGAAAGTAATTTGATGAAAACAATCTGAGTTTTATAATACACAGCTTTTGTGTTCAGTGGTAAACTAATCGATAAATAATAAATACGATGACTTTTACTATCTTATGTTCTTCCAAGGAGACGAAACCAAGCTGATACTTGCGAATCATTTACGAGAAAAGATTATAAATTTTAAAAAGCGGATAACTAGTTCAGAAGGTGTGGGAGCACTCTTCCGACCTTAGGAATTACATAGGGAGACACTAGAAAAATATAACTGCATCTGTTTCGTGACGCCACTAAAGTGGATTATGAAGTGTTTTTCTAATCAACGAGCTTGTCAACTTTTAAACCTCGCAGAATTCTGCTAAGCAACAAGGCTGAACATTTATCCCAAAGCACGTGGTTGTGCCCACTCTAAAACTAGTGACAGCAGTTTTGAGTCTCGGAATATGTGGAGTTTAAAAGACGAATTTTGTAAAGTTTGGTACTGTTTGAATGTATTCTGGAAAAATAATTTAATTTTAAAAGATTTAGACCAGTACTGTGAGAGGGAGGTATAACTGGCATTGCGAACGTTTTAGGCGATGTGCCAGCCATTTTTCATCTACTAATGTCCGTAGTTAAACGTGGATAGATGTTCATTTAGATGAAAATTCTTTCCGCTGGAAGTCGCAAAGAATACGAAATGGGTGGAATTTTCAATATCGGCCTAAAGTTCTTGTACTCTGACGAAAACAGAGTTCTCGGCAGCTGTGACCTCTAAATGGAATTTCGCCGCTCGAATTCTGGGTTCAAAAAATCTAAGTATAGCCACTACAGAGAGAACCGTCACAGCCAAAGATTGCTTCTATCAGCTCTACTTGATTCATTAGTGGTAACAACCGCTTTTCCCAATGCCCAGCAGTTTTCCTTCGGCATCTTTTTAAAAACGCTCAGTTAATGTTTTATCATCCTCGTTTTAATATTTAAAATTCGCAGTGTCGAAACACCAACGGAGGGTCTGTCAAGAATCATGACAGAGCTACCATAGTAACGCAAAACACAAACTTACTCTCAAAATGAAATACTGGGCCACCAATTTTTGCAGTTACCCAAAGCCGCAGCAGGCAAACAGCTGAACTGACAATAGAAAGGTCTACTAGTGGTCAGCAACTATTCCCTCAGTATCAGCAGAGATGTCCAAAAGGCCGGTCAGGTTTATACCATTTGGCGAAACACATACTGTATATTGTTAATGAGAACTTATGATGAGTGGTGAATATTCTTTCCCCCCTTTTAATCCAGCTTTAGTTGTTTAAAGAACCATAGAAGCGTAAGAACAAACTTTAGCTAGAGTTGTTCCTGACAACGTTACCTTTTTTCAAGTTCTGAGGCAACCTCTACACAGAAAACATGTTTGATAACATTTTCAGTTCCTATTTCTTTACCTGGTAACTGCTGTGCCATGTGTAGCTGCACATTTACGTTCTGAAAAGAAGCTTGCAGAATAGAATAGTTATGGGCGGTCCATATGTCACTAAACAATAGAAAATCTTATGCAATGTGAGAATTAGAATATGTGGCTTCAAAACGCATGCACCATCCTGGCTCCCACAGCACAAAAACGTTGCTGCAACCTCTTCGTACACTGGCTGCACCACTACTGTCGCTGCACGGTGGAACACTGTATAAGTAGGGCTATTGCTCTAATTAAAGGGGACACTGAAGCTTCATGACTAAAAGCATCCATCATCGTAGGGCACTGATGATGCCGTTAGCGTTATATTATAGATCTAAAGGTATCCTCAAGGGGTCATTACGAAAATGACCTAGCTACAAAACGTCTACTGCAGCAGGGATTGATGACGTATAAAGGAATTCACAGTACAAACCACCGAAGCTGCAAGTGTGGCTATCACCAAAACCAATTAAAGGAGATAACCGACGGTGTATTTATTAATATTATTGATCCTTTGGGTTACTAGTGGAACACAGGACTTCAACTGCACGCCTCCACTTGTTTCTGTCTTCTGCTGTACTTTTCACTTGCATCCATGTTAATCCATACTGTTTCAACTCTTCTTCACACAATCTCCTCCATGACACCCTTGCACCGACGAACAACTCGCCGCTTCCCTTTCGGGTTCCACTCAAGCGTTGGCCTGAAGCACAATGTCTCCCAGCGGCCTCCTCAGCGAGTGTCCAATCCATCTCCACTTTCTCCTGCATATTTGTTGAGTGATCAGTTCTTGTTTTGTTTGTTCCCATAGTTTCCTGTTGGTGATTCTTCCCGGCCATCTGATCTTCAGTATAGAACGAAGACAGCTGTTGATAAAGGTCTGCAACAGGCTGTTGGAAATATTCTTTGTGACCCGCCAACTTTCTGATCCGTAAAGCAAAACTGACTTGACGTTTGTATTGAAAATCCGAATTTTGCTGTTGATGTTGAGTGACGAAGATTTCCAGATTGGTTTCAGGTTGATGAATGTGTTTCTCGCCTTCCCGATTCTCGATTTGACATCCTTGTCCGTTCCTCCTGTGGTTGAGACAATGCTCCCTAGATAAGTGAATGAAGTAACCTCTTTCAAATCCCTCCCGTTGATGGTGATTGGCGCTGGATGTTGCTGGTGCTGTTGTTGTTGTTGGTTGGTTATTTTCATAACCTCCGTCTTGTCTATGTTCACCTGGAGTCTTGTCTTTGCTGCTTCTTCGATCAGTTTGTCAGTTTCCGCTTGTAATTCTTCTATGTTGTGTGACATCAAACATAAATCATCCGCGAAATCCAGGTCTGACGGTGGATAAAGCAGTGTAATCGCCTGCGAAAAGCGAGACAAAGCCAATACACGAGATAAAAGTTAGAAAGATACCACTGACTCAAAGAGAAAGCGGCGCCGCAACAGCTAGGAAAGCCATCTCACTAAGGATTTTCCCGTTGTGTAAGTTCGAAGCTCGGTGGGTGAAACCTCTATGGATGGAAAGCTGAAAGGCAAAGTAAACCAGAACATTACTTCTCTAATATCCACAGTCTGCTGCAAAACTGGACCCAGTTTGATAGTGTGATTAACTTAGAAAACGCTGGTGTTATTGGCATTTAGGAATCATGGTTAGAGACAAAGTTAACCGATCATGAGGTTATCCTTCATAACTTCACGGTTCATAGAGCGGTTCCACTAAACCTCAAAGGGGGTGGAGTAGCAGTTTAGCTTTTATCGGCACGAAAGCCCTAGAATACGAACATATAAGTTGCAGACTAAAACGATAGGTACACGGTTGTATACCCCACCACGACAAAAAGTGGTGCAAATTGTTCTCCAGACGATTTTCTTATACAGGAACTGCGTTCATGGAGATCCGAATGTCGGAGATTGACAGTCAACAAATTCAATACCCTGTTATTCTAATGGACAATTCTCACATTACCCTCCAACTATTGCTACGACAATAAGCTGGCATAATCTACCATTTTACTAACTCTAGTCCAGCACCTCTGCAAATGAGGATGCCACAGTCCGAAGCTCTAACCTTTCAACTTTGGATCTAGTTTCCTACCACGTAGGAGGTATGAATCTAACATAAAATCTTCCAACCTAAAAGGTGATCGCTCTCCGTTCACATTTAAGTCCGCATTTGCTGTAATATCTTGGGTAAGGACCTCAGACCTACTAAAATCATGGATAGTCAGTGTTAGTGCCGTCACTTTTCAAGCCTCAACGTAGAAGTGGATTACGAACCCAAATACTCAAATGAAATCTCCATGGAGTGGGTTCAGGCAGTTTTGTGGCCTTGAAATTCAGCATTTCCTGGGTTACTTTAGTGCAAACATAAGTGCTGGAAGATGTTTATCACACCTGTAACATAAGGGGTAGGAGGCTGTGTACTGTAGGTTTTGCAGGAGATCATCAATCATGGATACAGTTCAAAATATATCTTAGTTTAAAACGCAGTGGTACAACACGATAAAATATTTTTTACATGACCCTTAAAGATGAAACGTTCGATAGCGCCCTAAATCCAACTACCGATGTTGAAATAAATGAAGACAACCAGGAAAAAGGGGGCAGTATAAGGTTGATTCAATAGGGCTCTCAAGCATAAGGGGTCACTTCAGTATCGATTCTGGCTACACCACAGGAAAGCGGGATAAATTCTGTCGATACCGACCGTAACATGGTGATCTGACCATGAAACCAAACTAGACAAGGAGAATAAATATGACCTGACTACCCTCACTCAAAGATCGACAAGGAGCTGGGATGTCATATAGTTTGCCTACTGACTAATAACTTCAGGCTAATTAGCTTCCAGTCATGAGGTAACACTTTGCAGCAGCTTGCAGTTTCAGATCCCAATGAACAATATGCAGGAACTTTACTAAAATCACTGGTGAGATACTCATCACTAACAGATTGTATCCAAACTACCAGTCCCTATAAGATAATCCATATATTTCGAACGAGTTCAAAGGAGGACCACACGTATGATCCCTGATGTGACCGATATATCAAACGGGGAATGACATAACAGTTAAAAAATTTCATCTTTATTATACTACACGGAGAAAAATGATCTTATTACGATGTTTGGACTACTAAGAAATATCTACGGATATGATCGATCCTTTCCTTTTCACCCCTTCAAATATAAACATCTAGAAGGTGTTGGAAGAAAAGTTCAAAAGACAAAGCGGAGGTAAATCATTTTGGAGTTATTTGTCTACTACCAATTCACAAAATCCTAGAGCCCCCTACGAGGAAAAATAGTGTTTGAGCACTGAAACGAATGGTTTAAAAAGGATTGAACATGTACAGAAACCGGTTAAAAAGGACTAAAAAAGGCTTCAAGCCTATTATCCCTAACAAGAAATCTGAAATATTTGTGACGTAGGACTTAAAACACTTGTTATGTATTTATCATGAGTTATATGATGTAATGCTCTGGAATTCATCAGAAGGAAATATTAATTTTAATCCATTTTCATATATATGTGACGATTAAATATTTCCGCCATATTCTTAGTTTAAATCATCTACATTGAATAATTTTGACCTTGTCGGTTGAAACCGCGTTTTCGAATGCATTTGTTGTTCTCGCACGACACGTTCAGTAATAAATGCGGTATTATGAACAACCATATACCCTTCTTACTTGGTGATATTAAAACGCCACAGTTATATAATAAAACACCTTGATAGTTTGGATTTATAAAACAACCGCGGGACTCTTATAACAATTATCTAAATTCATATGGAAAATTCTCCGCTACCAACTGTAAAAGGCCAAATATTTGAGCTAGGACCAAGGTTTGATGACATACAGTATGTTGGTGAAGGAGCGTATGGAATTGTTGTGTATGTCCTATTTCTTTATCTATTATGTTTAAGATCGGCGTTCGATCGAGTACGGAATGAGAAAGTTGCTATTAAGAAAGTTTCCCCATTTGAACACCAGACTTATTGTCAGAGAACATACAGAGAGATTTGGATTTTGAGCAGAATGGATCATGAAAACGTTTGTTATATTAAAAAGATTTGTAACCATTAACTTGCAGATAGTTAAGATTCATGACCTTATAACACCAAGCACATTCGAAGAAATGAAAGATGTGTAAGAGTTGTCTACTTATTAATCTCTTACAATTTATAAAGTTATATTGTAGAATGTTACATGGAAACTGATCTGTGCCGTTTATTGAAAACTCAAAAGCTTAGCAATGATCATATTTGTTATTTCCTTTATCAAATGTTAAGAGGTCAGTTCATGCTACTAAAAAGTTTTATTTTTAAGGTCTCAAATATATACACTCTGCAAATGTCCTTCACAGAGATCTGAAACCATGCAATATTTTATTGAATGCAGCATGTGATTTAAGGGTAAGTTTGTTATTTCAATGCATTCATGTTGATACATTATCTTTTGTTCTTAAGTTCTAATATTTCATAAATTTTTACTTCATTGCATATCTGTTTTTATAATTTTATTTCAAATTATTTACATGGCGTATCCCAAATTTATTGACATAAGTAAGTTGAAGAGATCCTGAAGAGTGGCGTCCGAATGCATATTTCAAATAGTTGAATAAGTTAAATATTTCACCTGACCTTATGCTTAATAAATACGATAAGGACAAACTAATTTGGTACTGAGTTTTGACATTCTATTATATGTTGGTTATTCAAGTTTTAAAGTGACATCTATCATGACTTATTTCTTATGGCAAAGACCTAAGAAAAGCAACTCTCTTGAAGTTTAATCAGTACAAGAACAGTGTCCCTAGTTATTAACTTGTTTTAGCCATAAGTTACTAAATGTCTGATGTAATGTCAACCTTACACTAAATGATGTCATGCTACAAGAGGCCTTGTTCCGAACTTATCGTCCTAATCTATATTTAATAATCATCTAATCATTGAATATCTTTATTAATTTAAGTTTCCTAAAGATTCAAATGGTCCTTGTTAAAAAGAAATGAAGCTCAGAATTGAACAAATCATTTTATTCTAACAATTTTGTCGTTCGTTTAGCTAACCAGAGGTGTTCATAAAATCTAGTTTTACATTTTTTGATTACTGGCCTTTCCTTGATAGTTTTTATTTCACGAATTAAGGGAAACTGTTGAATATATATTCTAACATTCGATGTCCACTTGCTGATTCCAGTATACATATATATATATATTACTGTAGAGTTAGTGCATAAATATATTATGGTTTCCAACACAAAATTACACACAAACAATTTGCCCATTACCCAGTTATACACTGGCAGTTAAAAAGTAGGTGTAAATACACAGATCCATTTGACAGAAAACTTTGAATCACATAACTGTCTTAGCCTTTTTGATAACTTGTTCTTTGATCCCATTTAATTGTGTCTGCTATCTTGTAAATATGAACCTCTTTGGTTGTCTCATGGTACTCTGATCCATATTATGTTATGGTAATTACTCGTCATACGCAATATTCTAGTACTGACGGACTTGGTGTTTAGTGAGTATTTCTCATGTAACTAGCAAAACTGATTCACAAGAAATTAGCAGGTGTACTAACAACCTTTTACATGTAATAATGTCTATAAAGTTGACTCTAACCTTTAAAATGTAAATGTGCTAATTAATGTCCATTATGAGCATGTATTATTTGTCATAAACTGCCACTTAATTGTAAATAAAAGGATATGTAAATAAGTTCGGTAGAGATTCTCAAAAAGACTAACAAGAAAACTTTATTGTTATGATATTACTGATTGAATGCCTTTATGTGTCTTACACTAGTGATTCTAACATATACGTTTTCTTGTCACTCTAGTATACTGAAAGATATTCCAGTTGACACGCTAATCTTTATATATCCTTAAAAAATATATAATCGTTGTCATTATTCCCTTGGGTTACTAGTAGAATATATTTATTTCACACTTTTCTTTGCAGCCTTTTTAAGCTGGATTCACGGTCGCCCTCAAGCTTTCACATTGTCTTTACATGATCTCCTCCATGTCATCCTCGGATGCCCAACTTTTCCTTTCCTCCCAAAAGGTTCCACCCTAGAACCTGCTTTACATGTGATGTTACTCAAAGGTCTTCTTAGGGTGTGTCCAATCCATCTACATTTCCTTCTGTATATTTACTGGGCAATAGATTCTTGTTTGACTCATAGCCAGAGCTATGTGTTCCCTATGTATTATGACCGGCCACGTGATCTCCAGTATTCATACAGCGAATGAAAGTTCACAGTAGCCTTTCGGAAATGATTTTAGTGACACTCCAAGTCTCTGAAATATATAGAAGTACTGACTCTACATATTTACTTATTCCTTCACGTTCCCAGTGAAACACAGGGCTTCAAGCTAGAGGCTTGAAGTTTCTGTAACAGTGTGCGTCGGTGGCACAGTGGTTAGGACTCTCGCCGACCATGCACATGGTCCGGGGTTCGATCCCCTGCCGGCGCACACCCGGTATCTATGGTCGGCCTGAACTTGGGCTACCGATATCCATGCTCAAAATTCCACACTTGTACTGAAAATACGGTGTGGAATCAAGCTGTAAATCAAAATAAAATAAAAAAATAAAAAGGATGGGGTTGCTAGCCTCATACTCAACTCTTCCTCTTTGCCAGCTTTATTCCTGGCCTAGCAAGGTAAAGGAGTGCGTCGGTGGCCGGGGATCGAACCCCGGACCATGTGCATGGTCTGTGAGCGTCCTAACCTCTGTGCCACCGACGCACTGGCTCTACATTAGGGTTGAATATCCGAATCTTTTTCCTTATGTTGAGTGCAGTAAAATTCTCACACTAATTTTAGAGTATTAAACACCTCTCTTACTTCTCCTATTCTGCCTTTGACATCGTCATATGTCATTAATCCTAGTTTGGGAATCATTGGCAGCTCGCATCCACGGGGGTTCATACCCAGGACCTTCCGGTTACAAGCAAGCAAGCTCTTATACCATTCAATCACTGGGACCCGATTCAATGGTCAACCCATGAATTCTAACTTCGAGACCCAGTGGGTGCGTACTGCCAATGATTCCCAAAACTAGGATGAAACAGCTGTCCATTACTCCGTGGCTGGTTTTTTATAGAGTCTCTAACTGATATCAATCCATGGTCAAACTTGTAAAAACAAATTTAATCCTTACAAACCAGCTCTTGAATATGTCGTTAAAGAGATGCTGTCCAGAAAGTTCAAAAGTTGTGTCTTCCTTTAAATTTCTTCCGTTGATGCTGATTGATGCTTCTTTTTGTAACTTCATCACCTCTGTCTTCTTTATATTCACTTGAGGTTCCATCTTCATTGAAGTACGGTTCCGAAGCGAATCACTGTTTCAAGAAACTTACTATATTCGACAGAAAATCTGTATATACTTTTTTCACGATTATGAATAAAGCAAAAACAACAGTGTGGTTTGTGCAGAATAATATGGTACCATCATTTATTTCGTTGGCTTCTCATCAACTCAGCTCAGCTGCTTACAGCCTAAATAAATTATGAGGTTTATGTACAGAAAGGTTTTAACATACTTGCAAATTTTTTTCATGATGTCAGTTGACAGAAGGTTCCGCAATTAGTGAACAGTGCTCAGAAAATTACGCTTATATAGTTTTTACACAGGCAGTTCAAGTTTAAACAAGTAATAGCACTATTACCAGACATCTCCTCTATACGGGTCATGAGGTAGAAATCGCTAAATCCTTTAAAATTATCAATAAACAAAGGAGCTCGATTCTCCTCAAGTTTGCTGAAGCAATTTCTATCAAACGCTTGAAACCAGATTTATGTGTTCAGCAAGCAGTCGTTATTCGTAACCTTTGGCTTTAACCGCGCCTCTTTGATACAGTGTAGTTTTGCTTGTCTCTTGTTTCTATGATTTGAGTTGAACTCAGTACATTGTTACCTAATTTATTAGTCACTCAGCATCTTACGCATCTCTCATCTTTATTACGTAACTCCTTTACCATTGTATGCATACATTTATTTCGTTTAAACTTGAACTGCCTGTGTAAAAACTATATAAGCGTAATTTTCTGAGCACTGTTCACTAATTGCGGAACCTTCTGTCAACTGACATCATGAAAATATGCAAGTATGTTAAAAATTTTCTGTACATAAACCTCATAATTTATTTAGGCTGTAAGCAGCAGCTGAGTGATGAGAAGCCAACGAAATAGCCAATGATGGTACCATTTTATTCTGCACAAACCACTGTTGTTCTTGCTTTATTCAAATTCATCAAGGGGAATAAATGTATGAAGTTTCACGATTATTCCAAGAATAGAATCATAATTTCATTGCGCTTAACAGCGTTGTATCCTATCCAATCATTTTTTCCATTCTTTGTGGGCATTTAAAGTTTTTCATTTAATGCTTTATAATTTTTTGTGTTCGAGCTCGTCGTAAACTGTGTTCTAAAAACTTCATGCTCAGCTGAGCAGTAACTAGTTCTCTGGTTCTACTTGTCATCTGAACCACATTTTTTTAGTCTCTCATCTCAGGAGAACTTCAAGAAATAATATTCTCACCATTAAAATAAGTTGCAGGTCGTCACTGAATTTGATTTTTATATTTGAGAATGTTTTAGGCGCGTAGTATCAAAATTTTGATATGTATCTAATGACTGAAACTATAATTCTCATATTTATGACCCTGAACTGGTTAGAATACCTAATCAGTGGCTAACTATTGCTCAGACTAGTTGAAATAGCCTTGGTTTATCAGTCTGGTTAAGCGCATATAAATGGGTATAGTACTGAATTAAAAAAAAACAAATTTCAAGGTAGTATTCAAAGTAGCCGTTTGAATTTTACATGCCTGATGGTTAGACGACGCAATATACTGACCAGGTCTTAATTTAATATGAGAATAAAACTTGTGCACTGTGGTAGAGTGTAATTCCATTATGGGTAAATTTTGTTTTGATAAAGTCTCACAGTGTTATACAGTAATGTTTACTGATATGACGTTTCGAGTACAATTTATTGCTCATAATCATATCAAGGTAATCACACGACTTCCTAAATTCATGTATATAGTTCCGTTGTTTTCCACTTGATTTTCATTTGATTTGATTGGTAGTAATATTTTCCGTATTTCGGGAATGAGTGATGAATCATTCCTATTGCATGTGTTGGGTGTAGATTCGATGAACAAGGATTCAGTAATCCACCAGTCTCTATCTCCACCTACCTAGATTACTTTTTAGAATTTTAACCCTCTCCCACCCTATTGTGTGGTTGTGTGTTAATGCATGCATTGCAATTGCTGAGTTTTTTTCTAAATTACTCATTTTCTCGGGGTCAATCATTATTACCTCAGCTAAATTCTTATGTTCTGACAATCTGACTACCCCTGACCTACTAGTTTGGCCTATGTAGTTTAC